AGTTCCTGCCTGTTGGGGCCACCACACATTTGATCCAGCTGGAGCTGCTTGGTTTTCCCCTGCAGGTGGTGGCCCAGTGCCACAGGTGACGGCCAGAGCACTGGTCCCAGCCATGATTGGAGGGGGACAAGGAGGGCCTCCCAGTGCTGCAGTTCTCCCTGCAGATCCAGCAATGCGAGATAGCCACCAGGCAGGGGCTGGAGTCTCCTCTTCAGACACTGCCAGCCACCTTGCCAGCATGCCTCCTGCTCCCACCTCACCTCAGCTCAGGCAGCTTCCATCCCTCACACCAAAGGGACATGCAGTGGGTCTTGCTACAGCTACACTGTCCCCAGCTCCTGCTGTAACGGGGATGAGTGAACTGCCATCAAACAGCAGCACTACTCCCGAGCAGGCTGTGGGAGTGTCCAGAGTGGCTCTGGACAGCATCCCTGGAGAGTCAGTCCTGGGAATAGCTGTCCCTGTGCAAGAGGGAACTGCAGCCGAGCCACCCATGGGTGCTGCCGGTGCACTGAGAGGTGTCCCCCCAGTGCCAGGAGGAGTTCTGTCTCCAACAGTGGTACATGTCCTGCCTGCTCAACCAGTGCCAGAGACAAAAGCATCTTCCTCAGTCACTGGGAAATTGATTGATGGCAGTGACTTCGTGCAGTTGGGTGATGCTGTCACTGCAGAGGGGATGCCGGGGACAGCACGGACCACAGTGACATCACTGCCCCAGGATGAGCACAGCACAGGGACGTCACTCTCCAGCATCAGCAAGAGCCCTGCTGAGCTACAAACAACTGCTGTACTCCAGTCACACGAGGTCACACCAGGGCTGGAGGAGGCTACCTCACTTCTGGCCATGGCAGCCAGCATCAATCCGGACACAGGCAGTCCCGTGAAGCTGAAAGCATCCTCAGCCACTCCTGTCACTGTCCTCCCCGAGGCTCCCCCTCCTGCAGCTACAGAGGGAGCCGGGATGGCAGCCCCATCATCGGCAGACCCCCCAAAAGCATCCTCAGCAACATTTTCTTCTGCTGCCATTGACATCAGCGAGGCTACGGAGACAAGGGCACATGCTGTATCCAGCACTGGCTACAAGGCCTTGCAGGACTCCCTTGTGCCCCAAGCTCATCTGTCGGCAGCCCTTTCACCCTGGCTCTTTGGCGATGCCGTGCTGGGTGCAGGAGAAACGCTTCACCCCAGCCA